CAGCAGCTTGTCCGTAATGGCGGCGTCGAGACGGGCCAGAAGATGCGCAGGGCAAGATAGGACGCGCAAGTGGTACCGCCACTTGGACACGAGGCCCTTTACAAACACCTCGTACGCAGCATGTGGCTGAGTGGTGGCCACCTCCGCCAGGCGATCAACCTGCAGCGTCCACTTGTCGATCAAATCTGTGATATACTCCTCACAGAAGACCGTTGTACCGAGTGCGCCGCCAAGATAACGAGCACCCTCGGTCACAACACGAATGCCCGTGTCCCTGAAAAGCTGGAGTGCCAGGGCCGAATGCTGCTCCTTGACAATTAGTGTTGTCTTGTTCGCGTTAGGGTAGTACCCATACCCAGGGCCATGCTCCAGAATCCCATCCCAGTACTGCCTTAGATTGAGGAGCTGTCCGCCACCAGCATCGTCATCAGCATACCATAGCTGCACCACGTCGGGGCAGCACTCTGACAGCTTGTCTATCAATGGCATCATGGCGACCGCGTATATCGCCATGGCGAGAGGATCACCTTGGCAGGTACCCTCCTGACTCCTTATCTCTCCACCACCCGACACAAACAGGCGGCATGGACTGCTGTAGGTGTTCTTGAACACCTGCCCCAGGGCAGGGCAGACGAGTGGCACGTTGTGTAGGGCTGCTGTGCGGTTCATAGCGTTGAAAGCGTTGGTGGCATCGACCAAGAGCACACCCTCCACCTCCGGCGAGACAAGCATGTCGGTCATCGTATGCACGGCAGCTTCACACCCAGACGGAACACCAACACAGAGTTGACGAGGGGCTGTGGCGTGCATGGCGTCATACTGAATTATCTTCATCACAGCTTTGCCTATTAGTCTCCGGAAAACCTCCCCAACAGCGATAGGGCGCACCCCCGGTTGCTTGTCCAGTGGGATGAGGCGGGCCGCAGTGAACGAACTTAGCTCTTCTGGTGGGACTTCCTGGGTGCATAAGCGTTTTCCTGCTTCTGCCATTGCCGCACAGAGCTGGTCAGACGCTGCAGCGAAGCAGGTCAACATGCGTTTCCACGCATCAGAGTCCAGGCCCGATGGACCGGCCGCTCCGGACATTTGACGACTTATCTGCTTGATCAGCGCTCCTGTGAGCCTGGCAAAAAGGATCGGATCTTGAGGGGTAGCCGCGTCATGCCCCTGCAAGAGAGCGTCATCCGGAGGTACAGCAGGCTGGGGATGCTTATCAAGCAGAATGTCACGTACTGTTGAACCTGGGCTGCCGCTGACAGTGTCGCTCATTGACAACACTCCACCCGAGCCACTGGAGCAAACCATCCGAATGGCTGACTGCGTTTTCCCAGAACATACGAGTTTTGAAAACAAGGTGTCGTCAATTTGGCCTGACTGGTCGACGTTCCGGGTATGGTGTGCCGGAAGATGCGCCTGGATGCATCGGCATTCACGCAGCAGGGTGTTGATGTCTCCTGACTTCCAAACAGCAAGTCGACGCGTCAGGTGAGTTCCGTGTTCGGAGGAGGAGCCCTGTCCGTGCGGTTTCTGCAACAGGAGGTGGCACGCGACAGCTATTGATGTCCAGGCTCGTTCACGGTTGGGCGCCGCGTCGGAAAATATGCGAACCAGTCGTGCAATTTCCTCAACAAATTGCTTCCCGCCCGCTCCGAAGGGAACAATAAACAAATTTCTCCTCCAAGTCACACACTCTTCATACGCCCCCTGCAGGCTGTCTGGTTGACCCTCAGGAGCAGTCGGCAAAGGGCCCAAATCGTGCGCCGCTTCTGTACTGGAGTTGTCTCGTGCCGGCTGCTGTGGCTGGGGCTGACTGGCCAGCGGTGTAGACGGGGTGGTAGACGTTGGCCGCTGCGACACGGCTGGGATCGGAGAGTCTGGATGCTGCGACGCCTGCCGCAACTCCTGCATTGACATCTGTGAGCTGGCCTCAGGCTGCGATGCATCGGTGGTTAACGACTGCGTTGAATCGAGAAATGCCAGAAGATTAACGTCCGCAGTAGAAGGCAATGATTGGCTGCATGCCAAAGCAGAGGCTGATGCTGACTGGAGGTCCTGTGTCCTCGTAGAGGCTGTTTGTCCACTACCAGCTAGTGCAGGCTGAGTACCATCTGGCGCTGCAACGGAGGCACAACTTCTCGGCGCCTTGCTAAAGTTAGTGTTTCTGCATCTCCCCTTTGAAAGCGGGACGCAATTGTCACAACTGACACTATTCTGACACTACTACTACTACTACTACTACTACTACTACTACTACTACTACTACTACTACTACTACTACTACTACTACTACTACTACTACTACTACTACTACTACTACTACTACTACTACTACTACTACTACTACTACTACTACTACTACTACTACTACTACTACTACTACTACTACTACTACTACTACTACTACTACTACTACTACTACTACTACTACTACTACTACTACTACTACTACTACTACTACTACTACTACTACTACTACTACTACTACTACTACTACTACTACTACTACTACTACTACTACTACTACTACTACTACTACTACTACTACTACTACTACTACTACTACTACTACTACTACTACTACTACTACTACTACTACTACTACTACTACTACTACTACTACTACTACTACTACTACTACTACTACTACTACTACTACTACTACTACTACTACTACTACTACTACTACTACTACTACTACTACTACTACTACTACTACTACTACTACTACTACTACTACTACTACTACTACTACTACTACTACTACTACTACTACTACTACTACTACTACTACTACTACTACTACTACTACTACTACTACTACTACTACTACTACTACTACTACTACTACTACTACTACTACTACTACTACTACTACTACTACTACTACTACTACTACTACTACTACTACTACTACTACTACTACTACTACTACTACTACTACTACTACTACTACTACTACTACTACTACTACTACTACTACTACTACTACTACTACTACTACTACTACTACTACTACTACTACTACTACTACTACTACTACTACTACTACTACTACTACTACTACTACTACTACTACTACTACTACTACTACTACTACTACTACTACTACTACTACTACTACTACTACTACTACTACTACTACTACTACTACTACTACTACTACTACTACTACTACTACTACTACTACTACTACTACTACTACTACTACTACTACTACTACTACTACTACTACTACTACTACTACTACTACTACTACTACTACTACTACTACTACTACTACTACTACTACTACTACTACTACTACTACTACTACTACTACTACTACTACTACTACTACTACTACTACTACTACTACTACTACTACTACTACTACTACTACTACTACTACTACTACTACTACTACTACTACTACTACTACTACTACTACTACTACTACTACTACTACTACTACTACTACTACTACTACTACTACTACTACTACTACTACTACTACTACTACTACTACTACTACTACTACTACTACTACTACTACTACTACTACTACTACTACTACTACTACTACTACTACTACTACTACTACTACTACTACTACTACTACTACTACTACTACTACTACTACTACTACTACTACTACTACTACTACTACTACTACTACTACTACTACTACTACTACTACTACTACTACTACTACTACTACTACTACTTTTTAAAAAAATCGGAACACGTTTAGGTACAATTTATTTCAGGCTGTTTCTGTTTTGGTACCCTGTCTCTCATTCGAGCACCCGGGTCTACGATGGTATAACTTACTTATAAATAAGTATGCTTCCTTCGCCACCAGTTTCGGATAGGATCAACCAGGAGTTGTAAAATATTGGTATTTTAGTACTCCCTGCCCTCAAGACGAGCACAGCGCCGTGGATCGAGCAGATCCGGCCGCGCCGGCCTAGCGTGCTTCACTTTCTGGCCGAGGCAAACATCGCCCGCGTGTACGTGTGCGCATCCCGTGTCCTCTCCCGGGCTTTTACGACTCCCTGACTATAACTATGCGTGCATGCTGTGCACATTTTGATTCGATGCGCGACCAGCGCGCGCGCTGCAGCGCATAAATGCATGGTGTGTACAGCTGCATGGCCATGCCAGCGCCATGGCATGGGGCCGCTAGACGTAGATCTACGTGCGACCGGATTTCCATGTCCACACGACATACTAGTATTATGTGTCGACAGTACGTAGATCTACGTAGATCTGCACGCGTACAGTAAGATCGGGCGCCGAAGAACGCAGGGGCTCGAGCGCAGCCTAGGAAAGTTCTTAAATCTGATAATTCTAGCCTGGACTGTTCTTAAATTTTGCCGGTTTTCCAGCCTGGGCGTTCTTTGGCGAGGTGTTCTTCGGCGCCCGATCTTCTAGTAGAGTCTTGGCGCATGGCCTCCAAACACAGGGCCTAGCGCGCCTAGCTAGCCGGCCCAGGCAAAAGGCAAAAACGTTACCTAGCCTACGAAATAGGCCTATGATAGCGCTACTGGCAGTACTGCGGATACTGCCGGCCGCCAGTGCCGGTAGTAGATCTACTGCAGTACTGGCGCTAGGACCTTTCACTTGGCCGCGTGGTGCAGTGCACGCGAGCTAGCTGGCCTCCGATCTTGAGTGTCAAGTTGTATGTTCCGTCGCATCATGTCACTATTGACTTTGTCAGGGTTCGAGTGTCGTAGATTTTTATAAACCTCTGTACCATGTGTACATGTACTGTACTGACTGACTAGACCATCTCTCAGCATCTGAGTCTGACAACAATCACCATCACTGACATGACTGTCAAGTAGTGGTGTCACTTCAGCTCAGACTCAGACTAGAACTACTTAGTACAATAGTAGAAGATCTACATAGTCATTGTATGACCGATGACTGGAGGCCCATGCAACGAGGCCAGCTCGCGTGCACGCAATGCTGCACCACGTGCAAGTGAAGTCCATGGCCTTGTGTTGGGAGCTAGCTAGCTGGAGGCCAAGACTAGACAGTCGTCGTGTTGATCTAGGCCATTGGAGCGAGCCGACGACCTTCACTTCGGCCTCCAGCCCTCACGTCGCAGTTAGTACGAAGAGAAGTATATCAAGAAAATTCTGGACGAAATGCGCTGCCTTTTGGAGGAGCAAGTGTGCAGCTAGTTGTTATAAAATAATTGATAAATTTCTTTGAGGATTTGGTAGGTGTGAGGTACGCATATACTGTTTCCGTACCTTTCTGCCCTGTATCCAGTGGTATCTGGTCAGTGCAAATAGGATCAGAGCTGAAGCGCACTACTGGTTTCAAACTGACTGCAATCATCGTCCGCTGTTGTCGGGCGCGTGGACAGCGCATTGCCGTTGGGTCGGCTCTCCGTGACCTGAAGACGGTGATATTGAGGATGCTTAGACCCTATGCTGAACGTCGTCTAGACTAAGAGAACGTGTAGCCAAAGGCGAAAAGTCGCAGTGACTATGACGAATGGATGCAGTATCCCCAGCTGCCAGAACAACGGGAAGAGCGAGACAAAGGTCGCTGCTGCTCGTGGCGTCGTATTCCATCGAGTACCAAAGAAACCCGCTCATACGCGCGAGGCTTGGCTCCGCGTTCTGAACAAAATTGTGCCGAACCGGAATTTTACGGCTAAGCACATCAGAATCTGCAGCGAGCATTTCGAGAATGGCAGGAGCTCACAGGACGTCGTACCTACAAGGTTTGTAGCTCATGACGCACTGGCTACTGGTCTAGCGGAGCTTCCTGTGTTGAACAATGTAGCAGCGGAGGTCCCAGTAGCAGAAGTGGAGCAGCATGTTCAGGTTAGTTTAAAGAGGAAGTTATTCAAGTTAAGCCTAAAATCAAATGTTCACCAATTGTAGTCTTCAGGGTGCTGAGTCAAATGGTCTTGGTCCGAGGAAGCTGAGACGCTCCCTTCCTCCTTGATTCCCAATCGAACTCGCGAACTTCTACCGTAACTGAGCGACTGCGCCCTACTAGATGGGTTTTTTATGCAAAATATCACTAAAAGCGCCATTTCGTTCTTATAAAAGCACGCATGACCATGATTGGCCCATATGTTGTAGTCTTTTGGACGCTGAGTCGACAGGTTTTGGTCCAAAAAGGCTGTGGTGCAGCGTTCTGGCCTTACTCAGTATACTTCAAAAACACAATTGGAAGAGCATTCCATGGGGGATTGCCAAAAAATTGTGGCAAAAACTCAAAATTTGACCCATTTATGGCCGAAAGCTAGGATATCATCTTTTTTCTGAATGGACTGTAGACCTGCGAACCCTGGGCTGCGAAATGATGCATGGTGCAAACTTGAATGACGCGACTGGATTTCATTGAGCAGGACTGTACATTGCAAGGGGAGGGGGGGGGCGGGGGGAGGGAGGGGGGGGGGGTAATATCAAGAGTAAATAACCCGAAAGAGTGTGCAACTCTGCATCTGGGGTGGGATCTCCGACGGCGAAGACTCACATCACGTGTCTCAGGTACGTTTCGTACTAAGTACAAACGAAGAATAGCGTGCGCGCAATCCGAATATCTGCCATGATCATGTGGGGGAGTTGCTTACGTGCAGCGTGTTTCTGTCAGCGACGGTTTTTTATTACTCTGCTGCGCGTGCACACGCGCACGCACGCATGCACACACACACACACACCACACACACACCACACACAGCACACACACCACACACGCACACACACACACCACACACACACCACACACACACACACACACACACACACACACACACTCCAGTCAAGCATGCAATTCCAGAGGGACGATGGTAAACGTTTTTTTGTGAGAGATTGGTGCTGTTCAGCAAATAAAGGATTCAAGGTGCAGGGGTACATACATAGATAGATATAGAGAGTTAGAAAGAGTTCTTGCCGAATAGAACGTGTAGCACTGATCAACCTTTGGGGAGGGGGGGGGGGGGGGTGAGTGTCTGTGCAAATCATTCTGAATATCTCTATGTCCTTCTGCATGCCCAGGTGATCCAGGATCCGCATGCACTTCACATTGATGACGCCGATGCCACACACGTGATGTCACCAGTAGCCGCCGCCATGGCAACGGGTGAAGGTTCCGTCTCCACCACATCCCAATCCACCGGTCACGTAGCGACCAGCAAGAGTTCAGGAGTGCGAGGCAGCGTGGCTGCCACTGGCAACAGCCGTGGGGCAACTGCTGGCATCAGACGGAGCAGCAGCGCCGGTAAAGACAGCGGGATGGCATCGTCGGCTAATTCTCTCACTTCACAAGATGAGGACACGGAAGAGAACAGCCAGAAACAAGGCCAGGGTCAGAGTGATCACACTCACAGCTTGGACATAGACTCCGAGACCACTGCACAAGTATTATCTGATGTCAGCAGTATAACTTCCATGCATCCTGTCAACGAGATTGGCCATAGCAGCAGCAGCAGCAGAACCCAGCGGCAAAGTCAAACCGCCGGCTGCGCTAGCAGCGGAACTCGTCAGGAACATGCTCACGTGTCCGCCTCGTCTGGCTGCGTGGGCTTTGAGTCGTCGCTCGATGGCAGCATTTCGGCTCCGTCTGAATCGTGCTGGGCTCAGCTACTGTCCATTAGTCCTTTCCATTCGCCAACTTCTATGTCCGTCAATCACATCCCTGTGGGCGATGATGGATGGCCATTACCCGAAGACTATTATGAGCAGCTTGGCTTTCTGATCGAACAAGAAGCGGAGTTAAAAGCCAAAGGGCGTCAGGTAATGTCATGACCTGTTCTTATCGTCTTTATCCGTAGTGAGTAGCTCTATGATGTAGCGTACTAGGTAATGATGTTTGAATGCACGTGTTCTTTCACATTCAGCTTATGTGAAGCCATGTTGACCTTGCACAGTGAACACGTGTTCGGTGCCGAAGAAAAGAGAGAGAGAGAGAGAGAGAGAGAGAGAGAGAGAGAGAGAGAGAGAAAGAGAAAGAGAGAGAGAGAGAGGGAGAGAGAGAGGGAGAGAGAGGGAGAAATCTGCTCCTGGTTCAAGCAACCACTTTGTCTGCAGGAGCAATTTTATTAGGCACAGAATTTTTACCGCCAATGCGCTTGTGATATCAACAGGATTGCTTTTCGGTCCTGGTTGGATGGTGGAGCAAAAATCTCCTGCAGCTGGCTCCCGCAATGGAGACTATATAGGCTGATAATGGTGATTTCCCCTGGCTTTGTATTAACCAGGCAGTGGTGATTTCTTGTCAGCTGTAGTACCCGGATCATTGCTGTCTTTTCTTTTCTTCTTGGCTTGTTCGTGATTTAGGTGGTCCTGCAGCCAAGCATCTTTACAGATAAACTGGATGAAGGCAATGGCTTTGCTGGACAAGAACCCCACCGTTCTTTAGCAGCAATGGATGAAGTACGCA